ATTGAAAAAGGCTTGTTCTCTTTTTCTCCAAACGTTATGAACCCATACTTTATTATGTCTTGATAGGCCCATCCGTTTTTATTCGCAACAATTAAAATGTCATTTGGAAAGTTTCCTTACGGCATTGTTTTTCGGAATACAAATACAACAACGGTGGAAGCTTCCCACCATCGAAATTCACACTTAACACAACAGTAACTTCTCATGTCCGGTCACTGTTACGGAAACTTATTTGATGCCTTTAAACTAACAGTCCCTGATCCATGGAGATCAAAACTAACGAGCACTTCGCCCTTATTTCCAAAATGTGAAAATCCACACAACAAATTTTCTTCAATATAAAGTCTAAATTTCTGTACTTTCGCTTCCTGGGCAATTTTTGGCCAACACTCAAAGATGAACCGAATACATAAATTCTTCCCTTTCATAAATCTAAAAGCTTATGTTAAATTTACTGTTTCTTCCTCTTCTACAACCACTTTTGTCCTCAACAAAATACTAGTTTTTGACACTTTATGTCCTTTAGATATCTCTGAAATAACCCATTAGAGAAGTGCCTTTTCGAGCTCTGGCCAGAAGCATCTCCAGTATCTCACTGCACGTTTCTTCTGGTGTAAACAATTTAGAACAGCTTCTTCTTTCCTCCATTCACGCATACGGGACTCTCAACGTTAAATTTCCTGGCTTCCTCAGATTCCCTTTTTCTTTCGAGAAATTAACGGCTTACAGCATAAATATCGCTGTAATGATTTTCTTCGCACATTACTTTCTTCTCCATGAGCACTTTTCTCAGCAGCAGCTTCAATTTTAAAAATAACACTTGCAAAATACACTTGTTCAAAGACCAGAAGCAATATGGCGACTCTAGTCAATTTTCTGTTCGTTAATTTTAGATACAACCACAGCCAATCATATTATTCCATTATTCATTTGTCCAAAATCTGCCTTTTTCAGACAAGCAACAGACTACACGCTATCTATACATTTTTATGAGCATTAAATATTACAAGATACGCGGTATCTACTAGATGCGCGTTATCGATGGGAAAAGACGGTAGTTTTTACAGGTTTAATTAGCACACCCTTACAAGTTTACAGAAAGAGACAGAAACTGAGCGATACTGCAGTTCATATTTTAGGACAAAATGAATAGTGTAAATTTAAAAAAAATGTTTCACAAAAACCTTCTGAGAGTAAAACTCTGGATTTTCCTTCAAGGTACCAAATGCACGCATCTGCTTGCTGACAGAAAGCCTAAAATACCAAAAATATGCCAAATTATTGATACCTGTAAAACTTGTAAAACGCTAATTCTGAACTCTTATGACATTAATACTCGAACTCACAGATTACGAGATGGAACGTACCATCAGAAAAACGCGAAATACGAGAAACCAAGATCTCCGCACAGAAATTTAAAAGACCACGTATGGAATGAAATGACACATAATATATAAAACAATCAACATTTGAAAAAAACTTATTTTGCATATTAATCATGCAAGATTATTATTGCTAAAATACCGGCATTTATCGAATGAAAGAACAGCTATCTCTAAGTTTAATTAACTAAACAGTTGCCGGTATGAAGTCCGGATGAGAAAGGAGGATGAATTGTTATCCGTTGCGAAATCTATTGTAAAACTATTTTCAAACAATGATGCATATATAATGGTAAATGAAGAAAGATACGCGTGACTCACTTAACACATAAAAGATAGCTTATATTCATTTTCAAAATCCATCCGCAAAACATTATGAAAAAAAGTGCTTTCAGGAAATTGACACAATGATTTTAAATAAAGATTTTGAAAAATTTATTAGATTTACATGAATTTTCAAATACTATGAATTTATAATTTAGTACAGAATGAGGAGACGTAAACTCACTTCTTTCAAGGGTCACATTTCATACAATGGTTTCACACTTTTCGAGAAAGAAAAGAAACTGGAGAAAAATTTCAATTCAATCTATGATGATTGGATGATTATGTTCAATTATGATGAACTGCTCAGTAAAATAAATAAACAGTCAGTAGAATAAACCAATCTCGACAGCCAACTGGCCTATTGCTCTAACCACGTGCTCGTCGTCGACCTATCTCTCAAATATCACAAGCGAATCACTTCGCTACGAAAATCACTGCAAGACTTGGCTTCCAGTGACTGAGCTACATTGACACAAAAGGTAGGTGACAAGGTGAGAAGATTTTCCTATGCCTTATATAATCATTAATGAGATTGGGCATCCCTCAATGAACGTGAGGGAATGAACAGTTATTTAATAAATTTTTAATGTGTAAATTGCAGCATATCTTACCAATTATTTTCTCCATATTTCTGAACACACGAAGCCAGCAACAACTGGTCTCTGATATTCCATTTCTTCATCTCCTCCTCGTCCATCTTGTGCAAAAACCTAGATAACAGCATGTTACAAAAAATGTATCACACCAAACAAACTTATGTTCGATTCCGTTCGGCAATTTTTTTGCAAAGCTTTCACGCAATCGTCACTAATTACGGTTCTAAAAGTCATTCCAAATTAGCCGTTAGACCACTTAATTTCACTTTTTTACATCAGCAAGCAATTTCACATGACGACATTTCGTGCTGTGTTTCAGTGCGTGTTTGGCGAAACGTTATCATAAGCGGGAACGCTTTTGATTTCCATGCCTGTTGTATTTGAAGCTTTTCAACTGATCACTACATCACTGAAAGCGTATGATTCTGACCCAGGGTTCAAAAGCACATCCGCTTTATGACGAACTGAAATATATTCAACAGGCAAAACTATGTGACTGTTACCTCTATAAAGTCAATACGACACGTACAGGGTGGGTGACATTTTGCCAGAATAGGTCATTAAAATGCTGTTGCAAATTTTTCCTCAAAATATTTTCTAACGGTTTCTAAACTCGAACTACTAAAATAAAGGGAAAAAGAACACCCTGAACAGGATTTCTTTCGGTTCCTGAAGCAGCTACTTCCCAAGGTTTTTGCAACGTTCCCGATTCGCGGCTAAAAGCACCAGCTCATTGGTCTGACTTTCAAAGCCATCTTCTGCATAATCTAATAAGCGAAGTTCCCCACTACCAATATGAGCATGGTGGAAATTAAAACCATGCCACAGAACACTAGTACTCCTCACTCTTCAAAGCTACTTAATTACATCTGTGTCACCGATGGCCACGACTTTAAACATGAAAACTGTTAATGCTTTGGGAAAATTAACACTTCTCCATATATGTTTCGACGATATCAGTAGTCCCTCTGGACAGACTGGACGGTAGCGGTCTGTGTGGAAACGTTAATCTCATAATCATGGCTTCATGCTAGTTTTGGCGGACTTAAATTACTCCAGTATATCGCTACCCTTTCTAAACAGAAGAGGCAGACAACGCGATGCCATTATAGCACGACAGAAAAGGCTCCACGAGAACGACACCACCAGCGGGAGCTTAAAGTCGAAAATTCGAACATATCCTCACTCAGAGAAAAAGAACAAGAATTAGTTGATGAGGCCACGAAGTACCAACTCGACATT